TGCGTGTACAACTCAACTCAAATCATCGTATTTGCATCAACTCAATTCAACTTAACGCTACGACATCTCGCGTTACATAGCTGGCAATAGTGGTCTCCGACATCACCCTCTCAAACGAACCCGAACAATATTCGCTACAAATATTGATAAACTTTTGATTCGATCTTTATCATTACTTGTTTAAATCTTCAAATCTTAATTCATTAAGCTAGTCAGATCAGGTTATACTGATCCGTTAGGTTAATCAGATCAGGTTATGCTAATCTGTTAGGTTAATCAGATCAAGTTATATTAATCAATTACGCTAGTCAGATCATATTATACCAACATTTTCGATTGAGCCTATAGCGTTCTCCATGCGATAAGCGCTACAAAATATAAGTAATGGTCGTAGCAAAATGCTTTCGATAGGTTTATTTTGAGGATAAATGTGCTGTAGAAGAGCCTGAAAATATTTAATTCAAAATTCAATCAATTTTAATTGTCACTTTTCCTCCAACTTCTAACCTTCCCTCTCTCTCTCTCTTTTCTTTTCTCCCTTCCCTCCCGTTTTTTTCCATTTTCCAGCAAAATTCGCATAAATTGTCAGTTTTTATAAATTAATTAATGATAATTGTATCAGAAAAATGCAAATGTTAATAGTTTCTTTTCCTTTTTTTTTCTTCAATCTATCTTCAATCTTTCAATCTTTTTCCTCAATCTTGCAGACAAAAATTGTTTCTTTTAAAAAAATGAAAATAGCTTGATAAGAAAATTGATCGAACTTTAACAAAATATAATTTGAGCATTTGTTTAGTATTTCGATATTTAAGTATTTAAGCTATAATTTCGGCATTGTTTTATGATTTTGCAAACATTTTAACAATTGCTTTTTCCTTCATTAATTTTTTCTTTTTGTCATTATGCATTTTTATTGGTTAACTTACTTCAACAATATATAACGGAGTTTTATTTATTTTTGCGCATTCTACAGCTAAATCATAACTAATTTGCGCTATCATTTCACCTGTAAAATAATAAAAATGAAAAAATTTCGATTCAAAATATAAGCTAAATTGAATATTAGTAAAAGATATATTTTAACCTTTTGAAATATTACTTTATTTTAATAAATTTTCAAGTAATCTTAAATTTAATGCAGTAACATTATAGTACGAAAATTACTTTTTTAACACACCTCTATTACTTCGACCAAATACTGTATCATTGTTTACCTTCATAATACCTTTGTTTACATATAGTTTAGTACCATTAATGATTAAGACAACCGTATCATTATCATCATCATTTTTGGGTGGATTACGAAAATTGATCTCTTTGAAGAATTGACCTCGTACTGGTGTTCCCAATGGTAATGATTTAGCCTAATCAATAAATTTTATTCACTTATTCAATCTTATGTAAATTCTTTTATAATACATTATTGTAATAACGTATAATACTACTGGAATGACGTATAATAAAATGCTGGTAGCGTGTAATTCTTAATTAATTAACATCTTAACTTCTTAATTAATTTAAATTTGTAATTTGAAAATAACAATGTTGATGCTAGCGATAGGATGAAAAAAAAAGTGCTTTTTAGAAATTTTCCTATAAGCATAGATTATTCGATTTTACCTCAACATATTAAATCATCGAATTGGAAAAATTGTACTAAAATTTAAAAGGATCAAAAGAGAATTAAAAGGATTTTCTTGTAACAATTATGGACACTTTTTTGATTTTTAATAATTTATAAATTAACTAACCTTAGCAATTGCAGGTAAAATAATACAATTATATATGGTATCACCGTATTCTAATTCCGGATTTAATCCATTACGGATAATATCCATCCAATAACCGTCTTGTTCTGCTTTATATACTAACTCTTCGATAACACTTGGTAATTCAAGTTTGATTGCTTCCGTTATCTTTTGCTCCATATACATCTGATTTCGTTTATTTAGCAAAAATATTGGAGTGAAATTATTCTTTCATACTCAATTTAATAAGATAAATTAGGAAGATGTTAAAATTAGTGTATCTTTTAATAAATAAAATTAAAACATACCATTTTAAAATATTGATTTGAATATTTCAAATGAATGATTTCGAGTTCTAATTTTATTTGATTTCAAATTTAAATTAAATCAAAATTTCAAGAGAAAAAAAATGATAATACTAATATGCTTACAGATTCATAATTTACAATGTAGGAAGTAATTCGATCGATAATACCATCTGCTCGAAAACCAACTGCTGCACGAGTTAAACCTTTTAAATTAGCCCATACTGGTCGTTTGGTTGGATAAATCTGAAATTATCACAATAAATCACATTACTGTTTATCGTTTTATATTTAAAAAAAAAAAAAGAAAAAAAGAAAGGCGCCAAATGTTTGGAAAAATGCGATTTAAAGCCAAAAATGTTTATTTGCCCAAAAATTTCGACGTTAATTGTCATTTGAACTATTTATTTTAACCAATTAGCTAAATTAATTTCTAATACAAACATTGATTGTCAATTTAATAATTTCTGTTTTAACTTTTGAGCTATTTTCAAATTTTTGTTTCTTAATCGAATTAGTTGCAAATTTGAAGAAAAGCCAAATTTTAAAATTGAACTTAAACCTGATATAAGAGTTCTTTGAAATCATCTACATCAGTGTCACCCATATCAACCAAATCACCTTCTTCCGCATACTTTAACTTTTCAGCTGTAATTCAGTTACTTATGCAAATATACCATTGTCCTGATTTTTATCATACAATTTGTTCCTTTTCATTTTAAATTTAAAAGATTCAAGAAAAATCTATAAGCTATTAAGTATACACAATTAATTTAATTAATTAAATTGAAGCTTCATCAATTAATATAATTGAATAAAATAGTAAGTGGAGTGTCGAATAATAAAAAATACATCAAATAATTAAATTGTGTAAATTGCTATTTTTCGTAAATTTGCAAGCTAGTGAATCAAATGCTAATTTGTCGAAAAAAAAAGAAAAAAGAAAAGAGGTGGTTGGCTTTTGTTGATGCTAATTAGATGTAATTAATAATTAAATTTATATTCTTCACATATGCTGTGTTTTTGCATTTAATACTTGAAAATTTCATTAATGCCAACTTCGTCGAGGAACAAATCCCGAATTATTGGCTTTATAATGATTCCTGAGATATTATCTTGAATAGCACGAACAGGTAGTACTATAGGACAGGTAGTACTTCATGTGGTTAGTAAATTAATGAGTGAGAATAATTGTTAAGTGAAATTTATACCCATATAATTGGAATGCAAACTGAGCAATGATTTATATACTTGTAATGTTTCATTTTTGAATTTTAATGTAATATCACCATACTCGAATTTTGGCAAGAAATTATGCAGCTATAAGAGTATATTTTTTCAATTTTTTTTACCGTTTAAAGAAAATTAAATTAAATTAAAATGATAAAGGAAAAAAAAAGGAAGAATGATAAATTTCAAACTTAAATTAGATTTAATTCAAAAATAATTCGATAATTGAAAATAAATGTTAATTGCTCATCCAATTAACATGCATGCATTAGTAAAACGGAAAAAATTAAAAAGAAAAAACAGTAAAAATTAGTAAAACGTTCAATTACAAATTATTTCCATTAAAAAAAATTCATCTCGCTATTATTGTAATCCGTTTTAAATTTTCAATAATATTTTTAAAAAAAAAATGATAATTTCTTCAATAATAAAAAAGGAAGTGATAATTTGATAAAGTGATAATTTCTTTTCATATCTTTTTATCATTTTCTTTTTTAAAACTATAAATTAAACATACCGTTTCGACAAATTTCATTTCAATACGTACTCGTCGAATACTTTCATCACCAATTCGAATTACAATTGGTGGAAGTCGTTTTCCAAGCTCAAATAAATCACCATCCACAACACGATCCGTATCTGATTCAGCTATCCCAACTCGGAATCGTATTTGCATTATGTATTTCCATTCAAGATTTGAAAATTTTGCTTCACCTTTTATATTTACACTTATCGTTCCATCCTAAAATTTCATTTATTACATTTGCTTGATAATGTAAAATGATATGATATGATATGAAATAGTAATTATCTTTTATATTATGATATTCAAAATTTTATATCAAATAGATATTCAATTTAATTAACAAACAAACAATATGTAAATTTTGTAAACTTATTTAGCTTATTTAATTTGGAATATTTCGAAATATGTTCAAAATTATTGAATAAAATGTATTTAGTAACGCTATTAATTGTTAAGGTTTTTGATTAAAAAATATTTGATAAAAAATAATCGAATGGAATTATATACCTGTCCAACCTGTTTAGATATAACAATATAAACAGCTGGTAAATGAAACCGAAGTGCACCATTGGTAGTAAATTGTCCAGGAATAAGACCGATACCAGCAACTGATACTGAGAACTTAATTTTGTAATCGGTAGCTGGTAAAGGTACAAAATCAATAAATTCTTCCGTACAGGTTTTTACCGACTAAAAATTAAAGTAATTAATTAAGAATTTTAAAAGGAAACCTATTTTTAAAGATAAAAAATGACTAAAGTTATTCATTTTATGCTAATATTTCCAAGTTTTTACTCTTTAATAGTATTATTTTAAAATTTTCCATATAATGAAATAAATTCAAGTACCAGTGCTGCTAGTAATGATTTGTCCGAATCTTCCAATTCCATCTTATTTTTTGCAACCGATTCACTTGCATGCAATTGCATGACAATAACATCTTACATGCATTCGCGCTATTTTAATATAAGAATGTTTGAGATTTAAGAAGGTAATAAACATGTGCAAATATATTATTCTATTACACTTGCAGCTTTAACTTGCAATTGCAAAAAAAAAAAAAAAAAAAACCTGAACCCAATTAAAAGCACTCTAAACCAAGCGATAAGAAATGAATATGCTAAACAATCCATTAACATCTTGCTAACATGCATATTGATTTTGCAAATAATACACATAAAATTATTCAAGCATGCTTTGCCATATACTTATTAAAATTACACAATTATATATACAATACATGCATGCGTGCATTACATATATGCATGCATACATATGGAATACTTCGAGAAACTTAAACAAAAATAACATTAAAATTTTTTTCCAACACCTTAGATTTATTTTTAGTAAAGATTAGCAGAATGCAACACCAGGTATATTGCAATTTTTACACTTACTAATTTAATTTAATTAATTAATTTAAATCATTGCTAACATAGTACTGTTCAATATATAGCATATAAAAATATGCGTGAAATAACGAATTTTGCACATAAAAATATGATTCGTTATCAAATGATTATCAAAATGCTGCATATTTTTAAATTAATTAACTAATTTTTTGGAAAAAAAGAGACAAATATTTGCAATTTTTTGCGATAAAATGGAATTTTTAGTTTTAATTTTTAATTTTTATCACTCTTTTATCAGTCGTCACTTTTTTTTGCAAAAAAAGGACAAAAATTCATTTTAAAAAATCCAATTCCTTTTCTGGTCAAAATGAAGCTCCAAATATCTTTTCGTTTTTCTTTTTGTAAATTCCATTTTAATTATATATTATCAAATGTATGATGTCTGATCTTTCATTTCTTCTCTGTTATTAATTGAACCTTTGACAAGATATGTTGGATGTAACGGTAGGGCCGCGTTTGAATTTTGACCATTGAGGTTAGAGGTGAGTAGCTGTTTCGTTTGGTGATTTGTTGGTGTTGGGTATTGTTATCCGTGATTTGCTTGTAAATAATTTGCTTCAGATAGAATTCTACAGGCTATTTTGGCCAATTTATTTAATTGTATACTTTTATTAGAGGGAAAAGCTTGGAGGCAATCAATTTTATAAAGTAGGTTTCTAATGGTGTGCTTACTAGACTCGTTGAATCACTCTTGTATAATAAATTATATAGAATTATTTGTGTTATAAATTACATGATACGACTAACGTTTAATAAATGAATTAACTGCATCGAATAAATCACATCTAATGGATATCATGAAATACATAATAGTGCATCGTGCATTTAGAGTGAGTTGTGGGCTGGAAAGATCTGATGACATCTGGACCATATTTTTCGCCGACAGGGCGGCCAATATCACGGCAAAGTGCTGAAAGAGAACGTGTGAAAAATGTTTTGCAGGTAATCAGTGTTCTGATTAGTCGTAAAGTTCAATAAAATGCAAGTTTTAATATCAGGATTGATTTTGATTAACGAAAGATGGAAATATTGGCTGTCATAAAGGCTCGTGCTGAATACATTAGTATTACTGCGAGGAAGTTTAATTAGCTTAGTTGGGCTTTGTGATTAGCTTAATTGAGTTTTTAAAGTGTTAAGAGCATTATTTGTCTTCGTAGTGATAAAACCTGGGTTGTGACGAAAGGAACTACCGTTTTCAATGTGTCGCATTTTGAGCAAAATTGTTAAACAAAGCTTTAAATGTCACCAGACTCATCACATGACCCATCTTAGTGCTAGATTTGGAAGAAAGGAATTCAGCTGATATGATTAATGAAGTTGGTGATAACAATTCTATTCCTGAAATTTATTTATGATGTTATCTTTCTTATCCTTTATAATTTTCAGGAGAGTTTCCGGAGAGCTCTGAGGGTGAAAAGTTGTGCCGATCTTTGTGACATTACTCGACGTCTTAAGCAACTGTATATCGATGTAAAAATTTGTTTTTTAATGAATTCAAGTCGCAATTCAAACTTAATATTCTTTCTGAATTGGACTGTGACTTTTTGAAAAGATGCTTCGTTTCATATTTTTCTTTGTTCAAGCACTGAAGTTTTTATCCCTGCTTTCTTTTCTTTCATAACCATCAAACAAGGAAAATACTAAAACAATGAACCCAATGTGAATGACGTCAATCGAAACTGGAACAGATTCTCGTTTTTCAGGCACTAAATATACCTGGAGGTATCGAACGCTATTTGGCGGCTTTACGTTTTGCACTGGAACTTACTTGTGAGAAAAGTAACGAGAAAGAAGGACGTATCAATTGCCTGAAAATGTCTGCCCATGTTGCACTGGCACTGTCACAGGAAGGCATGCATGAACCACTTCAACTGTTAGTCGATTTCTGTGTGGACGTGAGTTTCGGTTCATTTTCGATGCACAATTTGACTAAGCGAAATTTTCGTTGCTTTTTTTTTGATCATGTTGCTCTCTTCACCCTAACTGCTGTAGTTATTTGAGGAAACATATGATACCCCAATGTATGTTAAGTCTGGTCTTAGTATGAGCTCCATAAAAGGAAGTATGACTTCAGATACAAAACAGATCATTTTTCTTTAATCTATTTGTTAGGCTGAATGCACACTTTATCTTCGCACTTAATTTGTATGTGTTTTGCAATATTGCATCAGCTTACAGTTTGAAATGTTCATAGGAATTTGAAACTTAGTCTATCCATCCTTCTTCAAGGAAAATGTTCTTCTACGAATTATAATTGTTTTAATTACTGATCTTTTCAGATGAGTGATTTGTGCGTTACTGTTACTAGGAGCTATGTATGTGCATTGGCTGGTTTGCTGCTTAATTTAAATAAGCTTATCTCAAATCGACTGAGTCAGCAAAATCCGCGGAAAACTGACTGCTCACCGTTATCGAAAGAACTGAGCAAGACGTTATTTGCTATACTTTCAAAGCGTCTTTTGGATGTTGTAAGTCTGTTTCCTCCTTCATTCCTGTACTCTCTTAGGTTTTAAAGAATACCAATTTATGTACATGCAATCAGTTGGTGCTAGCTAGGCTCGGATACAATAGAAGTGATCAAATCGAAAAATTTTCATGATCGCAGTCATTGATCTATTCCACTAACTTGCTTCTAGATTAATGATTGAAGTTGTCTTTTTTTTAATTTGTTATCTTGCTTAGTTTCGGTTGTTTTCAGAATCCTTTGGTTCGTTCCGAAGCTTTAAAAGCGATAGCAGCATTACAAGATGAACAGTCAAAAGCTGATAGTTACCAAACAAATTCTCCGAAACGTTGTAAGTTTCCTTTCGTTTTGAACTACTTTCCCATCACTCGTACGGTAAATGCATCATTCGTACTCCTGGATGTGCAGTAGTTCTATTTTAGCGTCGTTTTATATTGTCTGATTGTCTGGAGGCACTACTTTTTTCACTGGAATGAGTGGTTTGTTCAAGTCAAATTTGATAGATCAAAATGTGCCACGCGATGCGTCTTCAACATAGTTAAGCTTACTAAATCTATTTCATCCTACTTCGATGCTGGCTAAAGGTTTTATCTTCAGATAGTTTTAGTTTAGTTGTTGCATATCCTATGGTTTCAGTATTGATTTCGCATTTGAATGATGTGTCATGTGAATGTCGAATTGTTACCCTAAAGAAATTGATGCTGTCTTCGAAGGAGGAAGTCGATCTTGTGGTTTCTTTTTCTTTTCCGTTTTAAAAGCCCTTTTCCACGGAGAATGAAATATGATTAGTTTTCGATGACGAGTTGTTTGTAACTTGTTTCTATATGATAATACTTCTCAACGATAACAATATCTGTTTATTACACAGTGATGTCTTTTGAGGCTCGTGATCCACTTTCATGTTTTACTTTATTGCTATGTGCGTACTAGATACTACGAAGCCTTTAAGCTCGCAGCTAGTAAAGTCACTGGTGCTGTTACGGAGTGACGTAAATCATGAACAAGTTTAGATAGCTTGTACGATGATATTCGTGCAGAAACGTTATTCTCAGGTAAACATGGCATTGAGTGATTCCGAAGAACGAGTAAGGCGAGCAGCGACAATTCGGATTATTAAGGATGTTAATCTGAAAGCTTTATCTATCAAACAACGTATGGATTTAGTGCAAGGCGTTATGAATATGAATGGTAGTGTTTTCAATGATTTCATAGAAGGAAAAAACAGCTATGATAAATTGATTGTAGAAATTGAAGGGGTATGTTCCTTGACCCTTAAGGGCAAAGTTGCATGTTGCAAGAAATTATTTTAGCTGAAAATTTGGAACTATCATAAGATATTATTTATATAATATGAGAAAAAACAAGGTTTTTTTTTCTCTTTACATTATGCTTATGCTCTTCCAGCTCGAGGACAGAATCATGCTGTAATTTTAAATGATTTACTTGGAGAATGGCTTAAAACAGCCTGTGGAAAGGATGCATTACCAGACAACGGTGATGAACTCGCTTCATTTTACTCCATTGCATCGTCTCATTTACTGCGTTTTTTGGAACCATTAACACAGGAACAAGTAATTTATTTCCGGTTCTTAATTTTGCAAGACTTTATATAAATGAGAATATGGTCCAAGTTTTTACTAAAAGTTCCTCTTCAATGAAAGTCATGGATTGTTTACTCTCACTTCTAGGTAAGTCATGACTTGATGCTTCATTCACTTCAATACTGCCGCGAAAAAATGGGATTTGGCTCAATCGAAGTACAGGATTTCGTGAAGGCGCTAAACCGAAACGCGGAAGATATATCTCTTCATCGACATAATTGCAATAAATTGATCGAAGAGGGGTATCCTAGTAGTCTATATAATAAAGTTTGAAAATTAATATAAAAGTGTATGGCTTCAAGTTTGCAAGTGAAATGTATAAGTGAAGCGTAAATTGGCAAAATTGACACATAGCAGGTGGGATGAGAATTAATTGACCTTCCTGATCTGTTGAGCTCAGCGTTTCAGTAATATCCAAAACAATGTAAAGCTAGGTCTTCGTGGCGATGTTTTTTTTAACTCATTTTTACTTGCTTCATCTTGTTGAGTACCTCAAAAATTTAATTCCGTTAGGAAAATTAAGAGCCTCCTGCAAATAGCAATATATTTTTCAGTTGGACAGCTCTTGAACAAGCAAATGCTGTATTTTACTGGCGTTGCCTGTTGGATTTCTGTAAGTCAAAGTGTGTAACGGATGCAGACTGGTCAGAATGCCATTATCGTTTGTTGCCAACTATGCGAACCTTTTGTGAACTTATGCAAAAGTAAGTCTCAGCTGATTCGTAAACGTTGAGAAGTTGAGCATCAACTGTTACTCTGTTAAGTAATATCTAATATTAATTATAAGGATTAGCCAGAGAAAATTTGATCTGTCATTACTTGTTTTAGCTATATGACAAATGTATTATCGAGCAATGAAACAGAAGCGCTCTTTGCATTGAAGAACTTCACTGTGATGCAGTTGCTAAAAATAATATCATTTTTTGATCAAGGAGATCCGTCTGGATGGTAAACATCCCAACATTATAACACAGAGAAACGATTACTCTACTTCCCATAATTCCTTTAAATTTAGCGTTTTACGATAGTCAAACAAGTTTGGTATAACTTTGCTGGGAATGTGATTGTAGCTGAGTAACAGACAAAAAAAGAAAAAAAAATGAAAGTGAGACTGGTCTTGATGATTTTGCGCGTTTATTTTAGGATTTTTTAAACTGATCAAGCATAGCTGAGATTATTGAAATAGTTTTTGCTAGCTTTGCTGATAGGATTCATTCAGGAAAACTTGGCAGACTTCATGCGAAAATGTTTTGGGTAATATGCAGCTCAAACTGACTGAAGCTCTCGTCAATGAACTTGTTCAACAGATGTACACACATCTTTGGCCTCTTCCGGAACAGAATGACGTTTGGTTTCTGTTTTTAATGCCATGATTTGTAACTTTAAATAGACCAAATCAATAAATATAACATCAGATTAGAATGTCTCTGTTCTGTCTTTTGGCCGCATTAAAGTCTTATTATTATCGAGTTTGTTTTAGGAGCTTTTGAATTTCCTTATAATTAAATTATAGAGCTGACATTTTTTGCGCAGTTTTAGGAAGCTCTTTCAAACTTATGTGATTTAACGAGTTCTATCGTACACAGGGCTCTCTTTCCTAATGCAACAATGCTGGCCGCAAATCAAACTATTGGAATTGGGGGAAATGAAACGGCTGCTGAGTTTGAAAATGGAGAGGTTCGTTGCCGTCGACCTTTGAGCAACTTTTTTTTTGTTAAGTGTGCAGAATTTTGAGATGTGAACTTTGGCCATGAAGATGAATGAGTCGTTATTAGATATACTGATGAGAATGATTTTTTGAGTCTAAACTTGTTTTTATCCAGCAGATTTGAAAAGAAGTGGGTTTTCGCTTATTCAACACGATGTGTTTTGTTATGATTCCCTGCTTATAAATGGACCTCTTAAAGACCTTGCATTAGCATTGCTAGCATTTCTATCAAATCTATCAATTAAGATGAAGAGAGACTAGTAAAGAATGCAAAAAAATAATAGTCATGGTAATTTGAGGTTGACGATGATGTTGTGTATCGTTGTATTATGATTGTGAGTGCAATGCTGAAAACGAATCGCTACAAAAAAATGAATGCCTTGCTTCATGGAATTCTGGAAAATATTGTAAGGACCTAATGTCTTTCAGGGATTTACAGTTCTCTTTGACATTGTTGAACTTCTTTCTCATCGGATATGGCAAAGGCGATTTATCTTTATGTTTGTATACGCCATATTAATTAAAACGCCATATTAATGAAACCAAAAAAAGTCGTTTTTGTTTTCTACGAACGATTACCGATTGATTGCGTTAGCTGATCCTTGATATCCTATCATTATACTACTTCCAAAGGGACCAACTTATTTTACTAGCTTTATATGTAAATAATGATGGCTTAATAATTTTCCGTGCCATTTAGATCGAAAGGAGTGTGGTAGCAGCCGATGTCAACTGTCGAATCCTTGCATTTGAAGCGATGGGTATTTTGGCCATGTATGATCGCCGTGTGGCGTTTGAAAAAACAATCTTGATCAAAGAAACCCTTAAAATTGATCAACGCTTAAGAGTATGTTATTTCTGTAGTAATAACTCTCATTAAAAACTGCAAATTTTGCAGTAGCTATCGGTAAAAGTAAAAATTCGTATCCTATTTCGACTATCTAATAATTCGCTTTTGCCGAAAACGGCATGATTGTGTAAAGGATCCATTCTTATATTGATCTCGTTAAAGCAGTCATACGTCCATTTAAGCCATTTATCGATCAGCTGTTAGTGATGGATATGTTATGTTTGTGATTTTGAATTAATAAGTACCTTGTTTTTTATAATTTTAAATTAAATCAAGTGTTCATTTTTTACCGGTTATATTGCACTGGTCTAGCGATAGGCCTTCCCGTAATGGGCAGCCTTGATTGATCAATGTGACATTGATCACATCGCATAAAAATGGTGACCATGGATTTCGTATAAAAACTACAACGCCTGCGGGAACTGACGCCCATTCACAAAGCCCAATAAGTGGGGAAAGTATGTACCAGTCTCTGATGCAGGGGCATCAGAGCATTAGCATCAGAATCTGACACGCTAAACGATGATATGAAGGCTGCCCGCGTACATCCAGATCAAGCGCATGATCGAGCAAAACGAACCAGAAAAGCGCACCCTGCATTAGAACGGGAAAAACGCTAAAAAGGAAGAAAAAAAGTCTTATCATGTTTTGATCTGTCCAAACTTTAACATCGTTCATTGCGGTAAAGCGCAATTATTGAACATAATGATTCTTGTGTTTCATATACCAAATAATTCCACTATTTGAGATTTTTAGAGTAAATTTTATAGTTATTTTTTTATTTAAGCCGACAATGCTAAATATCTTGTGCAATATGGCTTTGCTGCATGGCTATCCGTTGGTTTCACGATGGTTCGGCGCTGGATTAGAAACAGCAAATCCAAACGACGAGCTTTTACAAGTTTTTGCGGAATATATTGATAGCCTGGTAAAATGTTATTTGTCAGCGAATTCGATCTTTATGTTGGAACTTGCAGAGTTTTAATTGTTCCTTTATACAAATCTCATAACTGGCTTACTCGTTTTTCAGGATCCAGACACGAGTTTTACAGCTTGTGAATGTCTGTGTAAAATGTTTCTGAAGGAGGCAAATGTTGCATGGACTGGTGTACTCAGTCGTCTGTTGCTCAAGGCATTTGATCCAGCAACCAACAACATTCCGAAACTGAAAGCCTGTTTGGTTACCTTCATACCAGTATTTGCTGAATGGAGTAGGTAGGTGCTAATTGCAGCTTAAACATGTCAACTGAATGTTTAACATGGTTGATATGTTACATTTATGGTCGAAACTTGTTCAAAGTTTCTATAGCTTAAAGTTATGCGCGTCGGTCTATAACGTCGTTTAAGCCTTAACTTAGTCTAAGCTTCAATATGTAATTATTATAATTAATTTAGTGAACTGGCGCGTTTTATAGGGAACATCAAATGCTGTTAGTTGAAGCATTCCCAGAAACTTTCAATACATTGCACAGCGATGAACAATTCGTCGGTTCGTTTTCACGCATAAATGTTGCAGCAGTTGGATCATGCTTTGTGCATGCAACGAGTTCACAATTACTGAATGGTGCTGATAAACAGGTGCAGTTTGTCATGGGTTTTTCTGTTTTGAACCTTCCATTTAATTCCTTTATAATTCATATTAATGAATTGGTTATTACTTAGCTAGCCTGTTAAAAATGAGGACCATAACAGTACATTTGGTGAATCGAGATTATAAAAAAGAAAGAGGGTGCTTGTGCTGCATTTCGATAATGGGGTGAACAGTGCATTGAGAACCAGGTAGTCATATTAAAAAGTTTTCTTAATCTAAATCTACTGTGGAAATTTTTTAAGAGGATTCAGATTTGCTTGAGGAATAGTTCTGGATTAAGTGGTCATTTTGTTCATTGTTTATCTTAGTTTCCAGAAAGGATCAGTTCATCCTTTTTTATGCCAAAAAATTTTGGCCGCATTGAGTGATGATCCAGAAGATGATTATGCCCCAGTATATTGTAAGATGCTATCAGACATTGATGCAAATGACTGGATGGATATTACACAAATAAATGCTTTAATTGTTGATACCGACGATGTGATTGATGTGAGTAAAGATATTTTCTAAAGCTTTTTATTATTTTTTGCAGTTACCTATATTGAATTAAATTTCTTGGTTATTATTTTTCATAAATTTTCATGTGGATAGTTACTGACAGTTAGAAAGTAATTGGCCAAGATATTTTGATGGTTTAAGGAAACGGCGAGTCAAATTTTTGAGGGCTGAGTTCAATGGGAAAAATCTTTGCCATTCTAAGAAGTGAATACTACCTCTAACTGCTTGTATAAATTGGAATGATTATTGAAGACGATACCTTGATTATGTGCTTAAAATTAAGCGAATATTGTTGTCATTAAAGCTGTGATGCGCTTTATCATTCGTTATTGAGACTTGTGTTCATTTTAGCTCTATAGCGATACGGAGGAAACTCGAGGATATATTCGGTCATTAGCGTCATTTTCTAAAAAGTTGCGAAAAAGGGTTGCCAGTTTGGAAACTCTGATTTCAACGAGGAAGGTCAGTGCTTGGGATATATGTGCTTCACCTACCGGAAGCAATTTCAGTCACTAGCAATTTTCTATTTCGTTTTGTTTTTATTTTCGTATTGTCGTTATTTTATGTGATTTGTGATAGCTTTCATTGAAGTCTTTCCGGGTTTCAGTTGTTTGCGTATTGTAAAATATTGGGTTTGTGTCGAACATTGCCATTACTTCGGGGAGTTTGAACTTGCATTTATAGAAAATTCTTAAATTTACACTAAAATAAAGGATTTCTTCAATGGTGACGATGTCATCCGCTGTACGGGTTGTTATTTTCAGCATGGTGACAGCGAATCCGTAGATGAGCATGATGATGATGATGAAAGTGAAATTTTAAAGATTTCGAAACTTGTACTTCGAGAAAGTAACAAGGCAAATGGTTGTAAGCCCCAAGCAAGCAAACAAAGCAAAAGAAAAATGGGTACTGATTCGAAGCCTAAAAACCCGGCTAAGGTTACTTTTTCGGAAGGTGTTCGAGAAGTCCACTATAACTTCCGTAGACTAAATCTGCTTGCTTATAAAGCTAAAAAAATTTTATTTAAGACAAATTTCTGATTTTAAAATCAAAAGACTAATATCATGAAAGCCCTTCGCTTACTGCTTCTTAAGATTTCATAAAGTGGTATTGGCATCATTTGCAGTAATGGCTGATTATCTATGCGTTCCTTATAAAGATTCTCTATCGAGATTTATGACTTAACATCTGCCTGAAAGTTTCAGAGTGTGGCACGTTAGCATATCAGTTTATGTGTCGGAAGCACAGAGTTGCTCTCAAATTTAGGTGCTCTAAAATGTTGTTGATAGTTTATGTAAGTTGCATAACATACGATAGTGCATGGTATGATAGATTATATATATCATGTATATCTTAATTAAAGAAACCAGTTTCTGAAACTCTACTGAAGCCGCTTTTACTGCTTTCTTTGCATCTTTCACTGCACATTTGAGTGATGGATGTTATTAATTATTGGCATCCTTGAAATGGATTCAAATTTTGATATTTACACGCAAGTAATCAATTGGGTTGCATGATTACCGGAAATCAAAGCACTCCTCCACTTTTGCTGTCTTCTGAAGAATATGTTTAATTGTAAAGGATTTGTTCATCACAGCCTTCATTGTTCATCACAGGAAGAAGAAAGCTTTTTTATCTGGCAGTCGTGGCATGATGCTTCGCATGTGTTATTTCGCACTTTCCAATAGAACAATGTTAAAGTGATTTATGATTATTATCTATATAATATTCTGATCAACAGATACTAAAAAAGTGGGGTTTCAGCCGAGAATTACGAAATCGAAGACTATTCCGCGTGACATGAAAGCATTACTACAAGAGGATGTAGAAAACAGGATTGTTCTAGTTCCGAGCGATAGTGATGAAATATTGAGAAATGAATCAAAACTAATTGCTGTCACACCAGGTATACGTCAAAGACCTGTACTGGCTCGTGCAGCAAAAGCTACTCGAAAATTTTTGAAAGACGAAAATTCACTCTCGGACGAGGAATGAATTAATGAAAGGTTGGACACTAGACACTACTCGTTCACTTGAGGATCATTATATAATAATAATATTCTAGAAAATCAACATTTCGCTTATATTAACACGAAAAGTTATGCTAATATAAAGCATTGAAATCTGTTTATGTAATTACTGACATTCTCAGTTTCCTTTTTTTCCTGAACTTTTATCTATCACATTCCGTATCATTGTGATTGAATTATTTCGTTTGATCAGTTGAGGATCATCTCCTATTACGTTTTTTTTTTACATTTTTGAAGAAAGGATGAATATGTAAAGGCCTATTATGATATTCTTGAAGTTACAAGCTTCAGTTTCCTTTGACAACATATATTATCATATCTTTTTTAAAGAACCAGCTACACATTCATGTTAATTTTCATTACAAATATTTTCTCCACAAATTTTAAGTCTTTAAATATTGTACATTTGCAGCGTACGTTCATATACCATGTATTCAACGACCTTTTTTTTTTTAAAAAAAAAACCCATTATTTTTATCCTTGTAGTAAATCTTTTCAAAGTTACATAAACTAACATAATTTTGGCATATATTTAAAATTTCAAATCCAAAATGTCTGTTTAGTTTGTGCCTGCATTAAATCGGAAGTTAGCTTACTGCAAATGAAATTGCTTAACATGCAAAATTTCAAGTCAAGATTCCATATTGATATCATTTACGTTTACGTTTTCTTATCAATAGCTGCCATTCCAAAAATAATCAAATATCAAAAGTCTTATATTTTTGCATTCTTCTATGTACGCCACCATCATTTATTACATGTAAATCTTTTCTTTTTTTTTTAAAGCATCATATTTGTAAATAATATGACATATTTTTATTATTTATTAGAAGAGTTCAACAATTTTCTCGGTTTTATTCTAATAAATTGCTGATATCAACTTCCCTAATGATTGTTTCTACCAAATTCGCAAATAATACGCTTAAATTTCTTTTCCTGATGAATTTCTGTTATATAGGATGAGCGAATAATAAATGGGCAAATATTTGAACCATATTGATGAAACCAAAATTTTGCTATTCTTCACGAATTACTAAAACTTATTTGGATGGATTGACTTGATTAATGTTTCGTGACAGATGTTGGTTTGATTTGCTACTGATGATTTATTTGGAAAGATAAAAGGTTTCCCGACGTTCCCATATTTGACAATGTGTAAATATGCTTGCGGATTACAATATTCGGTCGGGGTTTGGAATCAATTAATTAATAAAAGTTGCGACTTCAGTATCGGTAATAGTTTCGTCCTATTGTGTTATAGCTCATGGTGTAACATCACCAGATGTTATTTGAACATTCTGGGCTACCATAGCAAGCTTCAGATTTCTAACACTGATTCGATGCACCGAGTTTTTCAGCTAATTTCACACAAGGGTGTGATGACTGCTTGTGAACATTAAGGTTAGCACCAAAATTCTGTCTTCCAAGATGTAGAACTGTATTTAATTAAGATTATTTAGCTATAAACTTACTGTATGCAAGTGAGCAAGGATTAAGGTTGGACTAGAATCTGCTTTAAATATTTATATTCTATCGTAATTGTAAGTGACATGCAAAGGCTTCTAGAAGGTTTGTCGTAT